TTTAATTGAATTTGAGAGAGAGAGAGAGAGAGACACACACATCACATCACAGTGTGGAGTCAGCTGTCTTAACCGTGGCTTGTGTACTGCACACATACCAGCTTCATCACTGTGTCTGTCACGAGACTCTGTTCCCCTTTCAGGCTCTGTCTTTACATTTATTTTGAAAGATGAAGCTCGCGATTATGGTAAGGGGCGTTACATTTCCGACGAGTGCTTGTGGTGTTCGGCCAATCACACTGCACTGGGTCAGAGCAATCAGAGCAGACTGCGCTTTTCGGAAGGAGGGACTTTGTAGAAAACTAAGCGTTTGAGAGAGGTGGGGCATAGAGGACCTACAATAATGTACAGTATTTGAAAAATAATGTGTTTTTTGAACATTAAAGCATGTCATCATATTCTGTTACACCAAATACACAAAATAATGATCTTTAAAAAAGCGTCATATGACCCCTTTAAATTATCTCATGGCCTAAGGGAGCTATTGCTTTAATCACTCACAGGCCAAATATATTTGTTTATCTTTTTGTTTTCCCCTTTTTTGTCTGTGTGTGTTTTCCTCTGTTTATCATATCAGTATCAAACACATCCTCATTATGTTTTTTTTTTTGTCTCAAATTTATTTAAGGGGATTCTCAAACATTTTAATGCAAAGCAAGGACCCCTAAATTTGTGAGGGATCCCCTTTCACAAAGCTATATTTCATGAAGCCCTATTTTTAAACCATTAATCAAATTATTTAAATATTAGTCTGTGGAAAATATATTTATTTTATATTAAATAATTGCATATTTTTCTACCCATATTAAAGCAATTCTAATTCAGCAAATTTTTCATAATAATTAGGATTAAAATGCATAGCTTTACAAAAAATAGTAGCATAAAACCACTGAGCCAAACTTGACTAGAAATATTATAAACATAATATCTAAAATAAAATAATTAGTTTTATATTTTCTTATATTTTAAAATGTAATTTATTCCTAAAATGCCAAAGTTGAATTTTCAGCAGGCATTATTCCAGTCTTTAGTGTCACATGATCCTTCAGAAAACATTCTAATATGCTGATTTGGTGTTCAAAAAATATTTCTTATTATTATCAATGTTTAAAATGGTTGAAAAGTTTGTTTTTGTGGAATATTTTTTTAAGATTGTTTGATGAACAGAATATTAAAAACAACAGCATTTATTTGAAATATAAATCTGTAACATTAAAATGTCACTTTTTAACCAATTTAATGTGACCATGCTAAATAAAAGTATTACTTTCTTTCAAAAGTCTTACTGGCCCAAACATTTGAATGGTATTATATTATATTATTAATAATATTTGTGGTTAATGAAATTTCTTTGTAGTACTGTTTGTATCTCCATAAGTCTTATTAATTTAGCAATGCAGAATATATGTGACCCTGGACCACAAAACCAGTCATTAGTAGCACATGTATATTTGTAGCAACAGTCAACAATACATTGTATTGGTCAAAATGATCGATTTTTCTTTTATGTCAAAAATCATTAGAATATTAAGTAAAGATCATGTTCCATGAAGATATTTTGTAAATTTCCTACCTTAAATAAATCAAAACTTAATTTTTGATTAGTAATATGCATTGCTAAGAACTCCATTTGGACAACTTTAAAGGTGATTTTCTCAATATTTAGATTTATTTGCACCCTCAGATTCCAGATTTTCAAATAGTTGTATCTCAGCCAAATATTGTAAATATAATTTATTCAACTTTCAGATGTATAAATCTCTATTTAAAAAAAAAAAAGACCTTTATGACTGGTTTTGTGGTCCTGGGTCACATATGTCATCGTTCATAGACAAAATATGATTTCATGCAGATGCATTTCGATTCACGTTCCAAGGACCAGGTTGTACTAGCGTACAGTGACCAGCTGGAGGAGTGGTAGACATTTATTTTGGCATCCCTGTATGTCTGGCGATGGGTCTCGCTACATAAATGAATGAAGAGTCAGTGTGTTTAGGACCATGGGGGAAGGGTGTGTGTGTGTGTGTGTGTGTGTGAGCGTCCGCCGCAGCCCTGCCCAGCCTATTCTTTCTCTTGACGTCCTTCCTTGATGCCAGTGTCACACGCTGCTGGTGATGAACATTTTACAGCCACTGAACAGTTTTTATGTTTGGGAACATTGACATACCCTGCCTCCTCGAAAAGGGATATTGTTCAGTGGTCTTTGTTGGGACAGGAGTGCGCTCGAGATACGCTTAATAGTTTGGATTTCGTATCGTACCCGCTGTTGTTTATTTATTAATATATTGTTTTCCTGGAAATGTGCACAGATGACTCTTTGAAGGGGACACTGCGTCCGTGGGAGTGTTTTATTTTCTCTGGACAACCTAGACTCATTGAAAAAAGGAGTCTGTTTTCCTCTGTTTGATGCTGCGGTAGCTCATTTTTTTTCTTCTGTTCTGCTTTTGTTTTCTTTCTGTCTGTCTCGTGATATACAGTCGTTGACTTCTGCAGATCCTTGGGGATTCAACATACATTTCTGCAAACCAGACGCTGTATATGGACATAGTATGAAGACAGTTGAGCGAGACGTTTTCGTCTAGCTAAGGACAAAATGATCTATTGTTCCGGCTAGCCAAACTCCCACAGACATGAGCATCATATAGCCTTTTTATCTATGTTCTCACCCCACCAGTATTGCGCGAACCATCCAGCAAACTTAACCGAAAATGAGGATTGTTTAAGGGAAACGCTGTACTGGTGGTCTGAGAGGGCAGCGATAGCCTCGCGATACTGGCTCGGCTGCTGACTGTTTCTCTGTGCTGATTCAACTAGCGACTGTCCACGGATCGCTGAAATAAACCCAGGGCTGCTGAAGGCTGAAGCTCCGGAGACGATGTCCTCACGCGCCGCGCTGCTGCCGGGGAACGACAGGAATGCAGACCACGTAAGTGAAAAGAGTTTTTACGTCATTTAATTCCGCTTGGCGAGCAGTTGATTTCAACGTTTGTCGTCAAAAGAAGTGATGCGAATAAGACTCGCGAATCGGTTCTTTCGAAACGCTTCGTTTCAAAGGAATGGTTCAAAATGACCGATTCAGCGACTCCTTTACGTCACCATTAACGTTAAGACATCCTGGGATGACATTACATTTTCTATGTTTACAGTTTCTATGTCACGTATTTTTGTTTATTAAGGTTTCTTTTAATTATTTAAAAAACATTTTTATTAAGTATGATCATTTCACTTGTTCTAGTTCAGTTTGTTGCAGCCACTATTCTGAAAAAAAACTTGCAGTCAGACATACTCAAAGTATGTGGTATTCCCACTTGTAACATTTCTTTTATCAGCTATTAAAGTATCTATTGATCATTGGTCAATTAATTGATTCAATCCCAAAGCTCTTATCAGTTCAGTCGCTTCTCAGTTCACTATGAATCGGACATAACTCAAAAACCGATTCAGTCGAATTCTTCAAAGAGTCAGTCGAATCGATTTTGCGATTCTTTGAAAAGAATCGAGTCTTAATAACGATTCGTTAATAGCTCAGTCAGAAGCACTGCCATGAGCCAGAAGTGGAGTTGGAGTTTTATGGATCTGAAGTTGTCAGTAGCATTTGGGACTGCTATCAAAAAATATGTCTCAATTAATTCACGATCTAAAAGGTTACATTGACTAGAACATGCATTTTAAAATGAACAGCATCTTGCCCCTCCCTGAAAACACTGTCACAAATGACATTTGAGAGTAAGTTTCTATGGCTGTCTTTGTTGTCGTTTAGCTCATGGAGTGAAAAACTCTTTTAAAGACTATCTATAGCATTTGTGGATTATTGGTTTGCAGTCGTTTGTGTTCTTTGTTATGCATGTTGTGCTAAATGTTCTTGTACACCTCAGGCCTATGTGATGTGAAGTTAACCCACTTCTTTTCATGGTTAGTATGTGAATTCAGTTTTTAAGGCCAAGCTATGCCTTGTATTCATAGACAGGGCCATAAGCATCAATATTCAGATTAGTGGTTGATCAATATAGGCATTTAATGACTTTTTACTATTGACCTCCCCCAGTCTGAGATATTTGGTTACATCATTGTGTGTATGCCAAACTGCAGTTAGACTTATTGCATTTTTGTAGTATTCAGTGGCATATTTATGTATCCATTTTGTTGTATCTTAATTAAAAACATAAAAAGTTACCATTGTTAATGATGTACAGATGTGTAAGTAAACAGATGCCAGACAGCTTGTTGTAACATTTTTAAAACAGTGTAGAGTATATCAAAACAATACAAAAACATGTTTGCTTCTCAAGGTATCAAAGGCTTGGCCTTATTTTTGCACACAGTTAATAAAATTGATATTGGGCTTTCATTCACTTGCATTTTGCAATTTGTATGTCTGTGTATCTTATTAAAGGCCTATTCATGTTTATGATTACCTCAAGATTTATTAATATTAAATAGTAGCATTAAAGGAATCACTCAAAACTTTTGTCATCATCTACTCACCCTCATGGATTTCCAAACCCGTATGACTTTCTGTACTGATTGTTATTTTCCATTCAAAACCAATGGATGTGGACTAAGGATTTAAACCTTTAAATCTTACCAAAAAGAGCCATACAAGTAGTCAAAATTACTATATAGTATTCTTCCTTATTCATGTTATTGCTTTATATGATGAACGTAGATAGAAAAGCAAATAGTTTTGGAAGTGAGTTAGTGATGGCAGAATTTTGTTTTTTTTGTTTCAGCTGTCCCTTTAAGACAGAAATGACCAAACTTTTTACTACAAAGGGCCAAGAATGAAACTTGATTGAGGGCTGTGGGCCTAAAGTAAAAATCAAAGGTCATCGGGAGCCAACTTTGGTCCGCAGGCACTGTTTTGTGCTTTAAGATATGCAAGATATGAAGCTGAAAAATTTTAGAAAAGGTGGCAAGATTGTAGCAAGATAGTTTTTAGTAGACTGTTGCAAATATGGGTTTCACACATTATGTAATTAACAGTTCAGAAGTGCTGTCTCTGTTTCCACTTAAAACCGTCACATAACTTGTGGTCGTTAGTTCATAAGGAGATGTAAAAGACATCTGCTTTCCACATTGTTACATCATATGCCATAATTCGAATGCTTGGAAGAAAGTTGATTGCTTGTATTTATTGCTACTGTAATTGGAAATCGGATTATGCGTTATGCAAAAACTATTGACCCACAAAGGGATTCCTAAACTCAGTGACTTAGTGGTGAACGTCATAGATTGAAAAATAAAGAAGAATACATAAAGAAAAAGGAGTGGTTGGCTATGTGAATGAAAGCAGATGATGAAAAGTCTGCATAGTTTGTGCTTAAGTTATCCAGCATGTCTGCAAGCACAGACACAGCAACAAGGCATGTCACATAGAGGCACGCCGAGAGCTTCTAGAATGAGATAGAACACAATAGAAAATGCATCTACCAATCTGGGAGGTTATGTATTATTTTAATTATGTATTGAAGCTTGCAACATTTACAGCAGAGCAGACACTTGGAATGATGTCTAAATCAGCTAAAAATTTCTGGTGTGGAATGATAAATTTGTATGTGTTGGCTACTGTGGGCATTTAGCTTATGCTGAACTGTTGAAACATTAAAAGAGGAAATTGATTGGTAAGTCTGTAAGTGTCCACGCATTTGACTTCCTCCTGTACTTCCTCATTGCTGATCTTTAACATGTTTTTGCATGCCATTTACAATATAAATATATAACATCTATCTGTGTTTAGAAATTTGACCCTCTACAGTGAGGCAATGAGGAAAAAGCATGTATAGAATTATTCTTCTATATGTAAGAGCTAGTAATAAGAAGATCCAACTGATTCAAATGAGCCAATAAAGGGAATAGAGTTGTAATACATTGCACTTTTTTGCAATTTAAAATAAAGTAATAAAAACTCGAATCAATTGTTTAAATGCTAAAAGTGAATTTGCATCACCGCTTTATTATGTACAATATGAATGTTTATTCATTTTGAGATTTGCTGAATATTACATTTAACAGTGTTAATAAATTATTAGTGTTTGTAGATCTTAACTTTAGTAAATTGCACCTTAAGATGTATAAAAAGTCTGTCGTCCTTGGCTGTGTGTAGCACCTACAGCTCGGCGTTTCCTACTGAAGGATCCCAGCGTTTGGAGAGAGCGGCAGGAGTTTTCAACAAGGTCGCATTGTTTTAGTCTGATCGTAACATTTTGATTGTTTTCTTAACCTGTCAAAATTTCATGCAGAATTTGCAAACAAGTATCTATTGAAGACGTGGCAACACAAGCTATTGCACCCAATATCAAATTGGCAGCTTGCATGTGAGCACCGTGTCTTGTTTCACACGCTTATAAGTCTGAAGGCACAACAGCAACAAATAGTGTTTTTAAAATGATTTCCTTCAAGAGAAACACAGTATAACCCTCAGCCTAAACGATAGTTGTGACTGGACATTATGCCTCCACTTTCAGCCAAAAGAAATTCACTAAGAGGATTGTTTTTTTATTGTTCCTCAGTAAAGCAGGAAAGCTGATCCAATGTGGAGGTCAGATAGGCAGGGGGACCACAAGCCTGGTGGCTTGTTTCTGAGGAACTAGTGAAACCTAGGCCTATACACTCATGTTCTGAATAAAAGAGGTTATTGTGTCTGTTGTATGTGAGGAAAGCAATGAAGTCGAAGGGGTGTCTTTTATAAAGAGAAAACCTATGGCATGCCTTCATAGCGGTACTAGTTTGTTGTGGTGATGTTAGTGTGGCAACATCAATGATGTTAGGTGCTGTCTATGAGTCAGCGTAAATTCACACATTTTGTTATCCAGCACAAGGAAATTATCTTTCGGTTTGGCTGGTCACTACAAGTAAACATGTTTATCTAGTCTAACCTTTAACTCTGAGCATGTTTTTTGAAACAAAAGGGTGTGTTTAGACCATGAGCATCTATCGCACAATCAGCATGTTTTTGTTCTTGTCATTGTGGAAGTATTGCACCACCCCCTGTTTCGTTGCCACACCAATTGTTGCTCTTGACAACTGATATTGATGTTGTCTCCTTGTGCATTTGGCTAATGTGTGTGCGCATGAGGGGGTTATGTTACTAGTTGGTGGGGAGGGGGGTTGCGGAGTACGGTTAGCAGATGGGCCTCAGCTGGGGCTTTTTTGTTTGGCCCTCTCATCTGATGCCAAGGTGAGACTTTTGCTCCGTAATCATGAGGATTGCTGCCTGTCTGTTACTGCTGCACCATTAGTTATTCAGATGGCTTTGCTCATGACAGAGACCGTTACTAAAGGGTAACAAGTAGCAGAGAGTTAATGGCATTTCAGTCACAAGGCATGAGCCAGTATTACAGCAGTGACTTGGATTTGGGTCATCTGTTTAACAGAGGAAGATTGCATGTTCATTTCTCACACTCTCACAATAACTGTGTGAATTATTCATGTTTAAATGAATCTGTCAAAGTAGGGCTGTCTTCATTTGAAAATGTTATTGGATAACTCGCATGATATGAATAATTAATTACAGTTATTTGCAAGGGCTGGGTATTCATACACATTTCCAGATTCATTTTGATTCTGATTCGCAAGCTCTTGATTCAGTTACCTCACTATGTACAGTGGTGTGAAAAAGTGTTGGCCCCCTCCCTGATATCTTATTTTTTTGCATGTTTGTCACACTTTAATGTTTCAGATCATCAAACAAATTTAAATATTAGTAAAAGATAACACAAGTGAACACAACATGCAGTTTTTAAATGAAGGTTTTTATTATTAAGGGAAAACAAAATCCAAAACTACATGGCCCTGTGTGAAAAAGTGTTTGCCCCCTAAACCTAATAACTGGTTGGGCCACCCTTAGCAGCAACAACTTCAGCCATTCAGAGGTGGACTTGCTGGTGTGTTTTGGATCATTGTCCTGCTGCAGAACCCAAGTTCGCT